AGATGGCTACCGGCCGTAGTTGACAGGAATTGAAGAAGTGTCCACATCATAATCCTTATTAGACTCCAAAAGAAATTAATACTATTAGACAATTATTGTTGCATAAATTAACTAAAGAGATGAAAGGAAATGTCAATGGAGAAGCCACTGGTTTGGAATGTACTTTACGGAAATATAGTTTGATGGAGATGTTTAAGGGTTTAGTGTATTGGTAAATATGCAGATTTTAAATAGTACTCCATCATAAATATATAAACTTCTCATTTTCCAAGTATCTAATCATTGGAATGTACTTTACGGAAATATAATTTGATGGAGATGTTAAAGGGTAGAGTGTATTGGTAAAAATGCAGATTTTAAATAATACTCCATAAATATATAAAATTCTCATTTTCCAAGTTTCTAATCACTTAGAATAGTTTTAAGGAATTGCATGTATGTGACTAATTTATGGAGTTCTATAACTTATGTTGGCATAATCACAACCATATTCTGATTTTATTGGAGACCCTCACCAGAAATAAATGGTAGTAATAATGCAAATTTAGCCTATATGAGTTCAAGAAAGTCATATATGACTCCTTAAATCTCACCCTGACCTTCCTTTGGCCCGGATATATCGGGTCCCGGTCCGATGTGTACCATGCATAAAAAAATTCCAAAGTATTAACTTGATATTAAATTGGCCCCCACTTCTCTTTAAGCTATCTTTTTTCTTCCTCCAATCTTCACCTCCAATGTATATATATACGTACTCCTCATATGCATTTACCCTTACCATCATCACTGTCCTCTTCATTCCGGTGATCTGACACAAACAGAAAAAATAAACAGGGTATTACTAGAACTTGCGGTGTAAGGAAAAAATGGAAGTGAGTTATGCTTCTTCTTCAACCCCAACGGACTCATCATCCGGTGGCTTGACGTTTGGAAATAAAATATACTTTGGAGATGTTGGAAGTGCGCTAGTACTAGCGGGGGGTGGGAGTGGTCGGCCACCGCCGCCATCCAGGAGAGGGAGGCGTGGGGTGGCGCATGGCGGCCAACCACCGAGGTGTCAGGTGGAAGGCTGTCAGGCTGATTTGAGTGAGGCTAAGTCTTATTACTTAAAGCATAAGGTTTGTCTCACTCACTCCAAGTCTTCCAGGGTCATTGTTGCTGGGATCGAACAAAGATTCTGCCAACAATGTAGCAGGTCAGTACACTCGTTACTAGCACTCATTTGGAATGTTATTTTTTCTAAATAGGATTTAAGAAGTTCTTTACACACACAAATAGGGTTTTACTAAGCAACAATGCCAGTATGCCACTAAACATATGGTATAACACTTGACGATACAACTACAGCTATTTTTAAGTTAATTGTTTGATTGTTCATATCATCATCATCAGGGACGGGTTCAGGATTTCAACTCAAAGGGGCGAATTTTTTCATTATCGTGGGGGTGAAATTTTTATCGCAACTGTATAGGGGTGAATTTTTTTCGCTAATGTAGCGGGGTGAATATTTTTTGCTAGTGTTGCGGGGCAAATGTTATTTGTTAGTGGAGGGTTTTGCGGCTAATTTTTATTCAAAAAAATTCCATTAATACATATGCGATGTCATTTAAATCTATTAGATTCTAAGTTTAAATAATGAAAAAAAATTTGATTTTGTAACACTAAGTGCTCTTGAAAAAAGTGTTGACACTAAAGCGTAAAAAAATGGCAAATCAAAGAAAATTTATTTGAAAATAGAAAAATATCTACAATATTTTATCATATTATTTTGAAGCTAAAAAGTTTAAAAGGTACACATCAATCAATGCTTTTTAAACAACTTCTACCTTGTTTAACCACATGAATCTTATCAAAATAAAGAATTGGTTTTTGAATTGTAGTTTTTGTTCAAGGAGGGTATTCATGGGTCACGAGAAGTTTTCTTAATATTACAATATTATGTTCAAGATTATTTTTTTTAGATTAATATTATACGTATTATTGTTAATTCATATATATGGTGCATAGTATATTAGAAATTTTATTTATGCAATTAATTGTTTTTAGAAAGTAAGAAGTAAAGATAGTTAAACATTACAAAACTAGGAATTTTTATATAATGGGTATCCTAAGTCTGAAACTGTGTAAATTATTTTATGTAAATGGTTTTTTATTTTACTTCTTTTAAATCAAAAATTAAGTTTTATACTATGTAATGCTATATATTAATTTTGAATATTAAAAGTTAAGGGGGGCGAAAACATATATATCTAATAAAAGTATGAAAATTTTATGAAAATACTACATACTACGTATATAGCTACAAAGGCTCCCATCCCACCTCAATGGGATGGGGGGGTCAGATGTACACAACCCTACCTCCATTGGCGGACATTCTTTGTTCATGGGTGTTGGCTGTTCAGACGAACACCAAACTTTTGAAAATAAAAATGTAAAAATACATGTATAAAATTGATGTAATAATACATGTAGTATATTCTATTTTTTAAATAATACTCCATATTTTTTTATCCTTAACCCTTTTTGCTAGTTTGTTGTTGTTGAAAAAATTATTGTGGGAGCAGACAATATTATTGTGCAATATTTAATTTTAACCCTGAAATTTTTTTGAACACTCAACTTTAGGTAGCAAGATCCATCACTGCCTACCTATATGGCTATATACTAAAGCACATGGATATTGTTTCTGGGTGACATATACTGTGTTTGATTGTTTCATGTAAATAAAAACGTTTTTTTGGAAGACCAACCAATTAGGGGCTTCTTTAAAAAATCTTAAAGCTTTTGGTTCTATCCAAAAAAGCACGGCCAAACACGCTTTAGTTATTTGATCATATTAACTAGCTTCTTGAGTTGTTTTATGGTTGTCTGAAAGCAAAAAAAAAAAAGATGTAGTTTTGTCAAACACTCATGAGCTTTTGACTTCGACATGCTAATGTCATCTACTTTTTTCATTTTCCACTTTAACATAAGACAACTGGATTACAATTATTATTATTATTATGACTATTATGACCAAATAGTTAGTGAAATACCAGGTTCCATCAATTACTTGAATTTGATCAAGTTAAGAGAAGCTGCAGAAGGCGGCTGGCTGGTCACAACGAGCGTCGCCGGAAGCCCCCGTTTGGATCGCTATTTTCCCAACAATATGGCAATCTTTATTCACTCTTTGGTTAGTTGACAAAAATATTATTCTCTTGTGAATAGTACGTGGATTTCAAGTCAAACTTGTGCATTTAGGGTCCTTTGGTACCCGGAGAGGCAGAGAGTATAGGAAAATATTATAACTAGAAAAGCATATAAGAAATTCGAAGAAAATAAAATGCCGGGAAAATGTAATTTTTTTTTTGTTGATACTCATTTATATATTTATGCATATTTATGGAATATATTTTCATATTAAAGACTAAGAAATCTAAACGCAATTATGTTTAGATGTAAATATTCATATACAAGGTAAAACAACACAAGCAAATAATTTTCCTAGGCATTTTCCCATAATTTTCCTTGGCAATATTCCCCTTTCCCGAACATTTTCCATAAGCCAAACATATCCTTAGATCTTTATAATGACAGGAAACAATGGCCAAAGAGAAAGCTTTATTCAACAAATGTGGCACAACAGAGAAGGTTTCAGTGGGGCTTCTGACTCAAATCCCGCTCTCTCTCTTCTGTCCATCCAACCCTCAGGGCTAGGGCTTAACAACTGTTTTGACTCCAATGGGGTACATGATGAAGTTCATCTACCCAGTGACAATGTTGATAATATCAATGGATTTTCAAGTCCGTGGGGATTTAAGGGAGACCAGGCTAATTTCAGTTCATCCCTCTTCACCTTAATGCTCCCACAATCCACTCATGACTCATGGGGTAATATCCTTACTGACAGTGACCAGCTTGAGATTGGTCGAGACACTGGAAGATCGTTCATGGGATTGGAGTACTCAGGTTATGACTCTTCAGTTCAGGATGTACACTGGACTCTCTGATTCTTGCCTCTTTCTGTGTGATGTGTTTAGAAATTTTCAATAGATGGTTCTTCTGTGGGTGTTATGTTGTGCTCTTTTTTCCATAAGTTAAGAAGAGTTCAGTTGCTGTCTTATTTTTCTGGCAGTGAAGCCAGTAAACACAAGTTGCATAAACCATGTTTCTTTTTTACATTTCTTGTACATTTCAATGGAATGAGCAGGGAAAGCTGCCTGTAACATTTTTATCCCTGTTGCTGTATTATATTTTGTGGGCCCTATAGCTAAAGAGGAATTCTTAATTAATTAAAGATGGAACAAATAAATATTCAAATGACATTACTTAATTAATTAGGTAATGCATATAGTTGATTAGTTGAATAGTAATAGATCTAACATTTGAAAAATGGGCCCCAATAGTTTTAAAGCCATGTTCCCATAACTCCTCCAAGATGGGCCTAGGCATGAGCTGATGACCCAAATATAAACTGTTAAATGTATGGTTTGTTAAATACAAACTCCAACGTGTTTTCAACTTCAAAGATTAGCAGCAGCATACACAAAATTACTATTTACCCCGATCAGGACTGCAAATGAGAAATCCACCATGAAATCACTTTTTGGTACCATGCCTCTCACAAGTTTGGATAAAGGGTGGGGACCGTGGGGTGCTATGATAGGCGCGTGATGGCCGACTGGATAATTTAGTCACATTGCATGACATGAATCGAAATATGAATACCGTTATGCTTTTTAACTTCACATTCATAATTTCACATGTTGATTCATGTTAGGATTGTTAGCCATTCCCGCACTCTTTTGCGATTAAGGCTTGGATGTTGTTGTATGGGATGCAAATAGTCTGTTGGTTTGAAATAGTTGAAGTTGCTGAAAGTGCTAAAATTGTGATTGTTATTGATGAAGTTGCTGGAATTAAACAATTGAGAAAAACATGTACTAGTATTTAAATTATACTGAGTTGATATAATAAACAAACACTATATGGTAAAAAGGATAAAATGTTTATATTCGGCAAGTTTAGCCAAAAGTACCTCCAGCTGCCCTAATTTAATTTCATTGTGTGTATAGGTATTTGAAAAGTACAAATTTCAGCATGCATATTAAGATTTCCCATAAAAGCAATCGAGGGCCACACTTGATTTCCCAGATCAAGAATGCAAATACGCAATACATACCTGGATTTTTTTTTTTTTTTTTTTTTTTTTGCGCATCTGGATTCATGGCACAAAGAAACCTTCATTTGAAGGATGTTTTGATGACGTTTAAGACCCTAACCACTTTCACTATTGAATAGCCAGCATCAGATTTGGTAAAAAGCTAAGTATACAAATCTCAACTGTCCCTGAAATACATGAATCCCTCCAATAAGTCGAATTGTCTAGTGGTCTTCTTCCGATACGCCAGGGCAGTCACCCGCAAGTGCCTCCAAAGAATCATACTTGCAAAATAACAAAATCAGTGTAAAATAAGATAATCTGACAAGAAAAGAAAAGAAGAGACACACTTGGATATTAACAATTAAATATGGCCTTTTCCATGAATATTACTAAATTAATTTCAAAAGACAACTATATGACTTATTTTAAAATTTTCCAAAAAGTGACATAATCACTGACTAGTTCCCAGTGACTCATCATGTACCGTCACTCTGAAATACATTATAGTGACTCATGTCCAGTTACTCGAACACAATGACCAGTCATATTTTTTTCCAAAAACATAACTAGTCATATTTTTGTCCTGTGAAACTCTTGCTAATATACTTCGTTCATGTAATTTTTTCATTACATATTTGAACCCAAGCCTTTGCAATAACTCTCTTGCAAGTAATCCTTGATTCACTCTAAATCTACCATCATAATACTTACCCGGCATCCACAGAATAGACAGTAATAATATTCATCTCTTAATTTCATCAGCATCGTTAGCAAATCCTGCATGAAAAGTTAAGGGATAAATTAACCGTTTTCTCAAATTCATCGACATCATTAGTAAACCATGCATGAAAAGTTAAGGGATAACATTAACCATTTTCTCAATTTCATCGGCAACTTTAGCAAAGATTGCAAGTTGTAAGTTTGTAACTGATAAGTTTTGACATATTTTAAGGACTTCTCTACCAAAAAAAAGCAAAACTCTCTGTCAGCACATGTCACCATTATTCCAACCCGTGTGATGCTGACATGGACTTTTAAGGTGGATTATGACGACTCCAATGGAAAAGTCATTAACGTTAGCATACTTGGCAATTGCTGGACATGAGCTGCAAGTGAATAAAGTTAAGGGATAGATAATGGCACGTCCATAAGTTACAGGACTAAATCAACAATTTTCCTGGAATATACATAGTTCATGACTTCATGCTATGTTTTCCGTTTCTAGATTACAGAGCATGTTTACAACCTCCTTCCCTGCTTCCCAAACTCGTTATCCAAATTCATTTTTGTGGTCAGAGATTAAAAGAAGCTATCGGGGTTGCTAGCAATGGCAAGAAATGGCTACCCTTTTGAGCGGTGGACAAGAGTGGCAGCATCAGCAACAGTTGTAGTTGCAGTCAGTAATTAGAGCTGACCACAGTAAACTTGAAAAACAGTTCTTATTTTCTTTTAAAACAAAGTGGTTGCGAATTCAGATGAAAAAGAAACATGAAGATTAGTTTTCCTATTTGTCAACTTCGAAATATCAAAAGAAGGAAAGACACCTATCATACCAAAATGAACATGTCATGGTTAACTGGATTGGAGCAACTCAAAACTTAACACCATCTTCTCCTCTTTGGTTTTCTGTTGTGTTAAGTTTTTAAAGTGTTTCCAGAAAACATTATTTGTTTGATTCGTAAGAGTCGGGAACTGGAAAAAAGAATTGCAGCTTTTCTATGATTCCATATAAAGTATCAGAGAGCAGAGAAAAAATTTAGACAGAAAAACAGTACCTCTTCTGTGATGATTTCTTCTTCTTCTTCTTCCTCTTCTCCTTCTTTTTCCTTAGCCTCTTCAACGACCTCCCTATTCTCCAACTGGGCTAATACAGCCTCAGCCTTGTGAAAGTTGACAACAACCCTCCGCCCTCTCCACCTCTCTTTTTGGCGATGCTCAAAGTCTACCATAAGTTCTTCCTCCTTCTTTTGCCCAATTTCAGATTTCTCTTTTTCTATCCTTGCCTTCTCTAATCTCGAGTCTTCCTTCCCAAGCCCAGCACGGCCTCTTCGAATTTCCAATCCCACTGGTTCAACCCTTCCTGAACCATCCTTCCCTAAACATGAGCCAGGAATGTATCCCATTTGTTTCAACATTTTAAACCCAATGTTTGATTCAGGAATTGCTGATTCTAAGTTCGCCAGTGTTTGTTGATCCTCTTCAATTTGCTTTTGTTGTCGTTTAAGTTTTCTCTGTTCTTGCCAGCTTAGAGGTTTGCGCTTGTTTACAGATTTTGAGACTACGGCGGATTTATTGCTAGAAACCTGGAGAGTGGAGAAGGATACTACGATTATACCTGATTTTCCTAAAGTTAAAGAAAGGTGGGTTTCATAGCTCATATAATGATACAACCTCAATTTTCACAAGGATTGATTGGATATGAGTATATGACTCTAAGTCTGGAAGTAAATCTAGACTGATTAGCATACGTATTTCTGAAATCAATCCTGTTTTTAAGTGTATGTAATTCAAAAATCATAACCTCCAGCCTATGCTTTAAAAATTTGCATTAAGACTAGCAAATTTAAGAAATCAATTAAGCTTTCATTATCTCACTTTCTTTCTAGGTTTTAGGTAATTGATTGTATTGAGCAAATAAACTCAGCGTCAATAAAGAGCTCAAATTTAGGTTGAATAATTTTCACCACGTAGGACATATAAGTAGTTTCGAATTGCAGAAAAGAACAATATAAAAGCATAAATATGTAGGTAGCGCATATATAAATATAATCTTTGAACAGGGCTGTTTAGGAAGCGCAGACCTTTTCAGAAGATGGAGAAGCTTCCGGAGGTAGAAACTGGGAAAGGTCTCCCATGTAATCTTCTTCCCCTTCCGCCATTGCAGTTTTGCAAAACTTCTGGCTGGGAGAACGAGTGCAATGGCAGAAAGCCGAGACCAAGCTTGAAATACTTTTCGAAAGTAGGGCGCGCAATTGATAGCAATTTTGTTCAGAGAGGTGAGATGATGTCCATCCCTTAGTCCCTTACTATTGTTAGAATGTTTTCTTACACAGACTAAACTTGTAGTTATAAAATACACAGGGATGAGATGATTATAGGACCAGACCAAATCAGACCGGTTCAAACCAAATCAGATCATACCAGACATAACTAGCAAATTTCAGTCCAACGAAAAAAAGTAACTTCTTTATTTAGGGTCTTATTTTGTTTAAAACTAAATTGGTTTTTTTTTTAATTTTTATGATATTTCAAATGGTATGAACAGGGCCGGTCCTAGGGGGGTGCAACAAGGGCGACTGCCCTAGGCCCAAAAAATAGAAGGGAAAAATAGGCCCAAAAATTTGTCTTTATATATAGTGTGAGTAGGCTTCTTTTTTAATTTAAGCTCAAGTTAAAAGACATGTGGCACGCCTCTTTGAATAGTTAATTAAGTCTCTTCACATCTCTAAGCTTTATAATTCTTTTAATTACAAAATTACCAAAATATTTATTGGCTCTAACTCTTTGTACAGCCCGTGTGTCTCCCAAACTCCCGATTCATAAACCACCCCATCCCACTAACCTAATTAATTTCCTGGACGGTGGTTTCCAAGTTCCAATTAAACTCAATTATCTAATGAACTAAAGGACTACGGTTTAATAAGGTCTTGGTCATCTTGCACAAGAGTAGACATTAGAGAGCGCCGCAAGCCTGCAAATCACCATTAGCCAAAGCGGTCAGCGGTGAGGAGCCCAAAAAGCGGCCGACGATTAGAACACCTTCTTCTGTCAAGGCTTCAAACAATCCGACAACGGCCAGTAAATAATTCCCAATCTATATTAGCTATGAATAATAAATCCACTAAATGTTCTTTTGATTTATGAATTATGATTAATGATTTGTATATGTTGCATTTTTGGTGTCTTGGTAAATTCATATTTGTTTGGGATTGTGCAATTTTGAATTGAATCCTTTATTTCGTTTACTATTGTGAAGGTGTTTGATAAAATGGGTGAATCTAGTTGGGAAAAAGAGAAAGAGGCAAAGATTAGAAAAGGCAGCCTTAAATAAGACGGGGGCAATGAAAAATTTTGTTTTTGTTGAGAAATTGATTTCTGAAAATTCTTCTCAAGTTGAATAGCCGATAAATTTTTTTGTGAGTGAAAATCATAACATGCTTGGAAATAGTGATATAGGTGCAGAAGCCGCAAATAGTGAAATTGAGCCAGATAATTGTGATTTAAGTGAAGAGAATAACTTTTGGTGTGTCCTGTTTCGTTGATCGATTTTTAGAGATTAATTTTTGTCTTGAACATAGGCCCAAATAATATCTCGCTCATAGGCCCGAAAATCGACAAGACCGGCCCTGGGTATGAATAATGCATATTTAAAATTTTAAAAACAAACTGCTAACGATCAAAATAACAAACTGCTAAAATTTGATCTTTTAAAAAAGAAAAACTATTTTCAATTTTTTAAAAAAATTAGACCACAAATAAAACAAATATACGGAGTAACAATTTAAAAAAAAATGGACTCTTGATATGACAAGCAGGGTTCAAGAGAACTTATTTTAAAAATGATGTTTGTACTCACTCTTATACCCACTTTTATACACATATATTTGTGAAATGTTTTTTTTATCTGTGAACCCCGGCTCACAGACAATATTTTGCACAGACAAAATATTGTCTGTGAACCCGGGTTCACAAACAAAAAAAACCTCTACAAACATAGTGGGTATAAGGTGGGTATAAAAATGGGTACATCAAGCATGGTTGTTATGCATTCATATTCATTTTCCATAAATTTTTCAACCAAAGTACAAATTACTACGGAGTATCTCTTTGTTATTTTTTCATTATTTTCCTCTTCTTAATGTACTCCGTATCCTCTCAAAAAAAAAATGTACTCCGTATTACGGAGTATACTTACTTTTTCATAAGAATACAAACGAATCGAGCCAAGCTCAAACTTCAGCTTGCTCGAGCACAAACACAATAAAAATGCATCGACTTAATTAAGCTCAAATGAGGCTAATAAATTTTGTTCGGTCTCTGGCTCGGACTTCACTCGAATTTTGCTCATTAACTTTAATAGATCAAGATTAAATAAGATGCTCGAACTTCAATTCGAATTCGAGCTAGAAATAAACTTTATATTTTGGGAAAATTGTCAAATAAGCTCTCGAACTTTCATAAAAAAAGTCAAATAAATCTTTATATAGGAAGTTTAATTCCTCGATTTAGTTTGAGTCAATGAGAGTAATATGAATACAATATTTTTTTTATCGTATATGAATACAATATTTGAATGCGTAGTTTGTTAAGTATTGATAAATTAAATAATCTTAATGATTGAAGTATTTGTATGCTAGATTGTATGTGGGGGAAATAAAGCAGCCAAAATGACTAATAACCATAATAGGAGTAAGGCTCACATCAAATAGTAGCATGCATTTGTGGTGTTATATGAAAACACAAACAAACACAAAAAATATAATAGTCAAATATTTATCAGGGTCTAATACTCTAATATATTGAAGGAGTGTTTGCAGTTGATTAAAAAAAGCACTTTTCAGCTTTTGGCTTAAAAAAAATTAAAAAGAGTGTTTTCAAATGACAGCTTCTGCTTAAATTAATCACTTAAAAGCTAAAAGCTGGAAGCAGGTGGAATGGTGCTTTAAACTGCTTTTTACTTTTTCTATTACACAAAAAGTACTTATTTTACCAAACACTACCAACTTTTACTTTTTCAAAATCACTTTTTTCTCAAACACTGCCAACTTTTACTATTAATCACTTTTTCCCAAATTACTTTAAAAAATCACTTTTTTAAAGTTGAAGCAATTGCAAACACTCCCTGAAAGTCACGGCAGAAAAGCACAAGCTGCCCCAACAACCTCTATAATTTTGTCATTACAGTGGCAACTTTGTAAACATTTTGAATAAAATGAAGAATTGTTTTATGTTTCACTTTTCATGAGTGGGACAATATTACATCGTAAACCACTTCATGAATGAATAATATACATTAATGTCATTAAACCACAAACCAACTGCATTGAATATTTGTTGTTCCAAGTCGGACTTCAGAACCTCATCAGGGGGTTCATCTCCAGTAATCATTTAATCATCAGTCATTTGGGAAAGTGAGGAGGAGCAAATATAGACATATCATTTTACAATCAGGCCTCCATCAAATGTTTACAGACAACATATTACTCAAAATATGAGCACGAAGTATATTATGAAACTCAACCATTTTAGTCCTTCTATTATAAGGTACCTCTTAAAAGGACTCGATGGTTCTTTTCATAAGGCATTGATTCCTCTATGAAGCTTTTTAAAAGTACTGTTTAATGATGGCCGATTGGAATATAATATTTTCTAAGAACCTAAACATATTAACTATTCTCCTTGGTCTGTAATTTCATCAGTTGTGCCATGATAAAAAAAATCCAGAGTGAGTATTTTATTTGGCTTACACCCTTTGTTTCCCAATCTTGACTTTCTAAGCGAAGGAAGTTCTTCCAACAAAAAATGCAACAACAGCTGCAAAATGAATACCCTGTGGAGTACACAATGAAAGAACTTTAAAACTGAAAAGATTTAGAGAGATAAAAAACAATGTTGATTGACTATGAATTTTGATATTAAAAATGAATTTAACATCATTGACAGTTTAACATCTTCCAGAAATTTAACATGAACCGCAACCGAGAAATCAATTGGTTCAAAACAAGAAAGCACCCTCTCAAGCATCATTGACAGTTTAACATCTTCCAAATCATATCCAGCAACTTCAAAGTCCACATATCCAGCAATTTCTTTCTTTCTTTCTTTATTTCTTTTTATAACATGAATATAGCAAGCAAAACCGTCATCATTAGAAATCTAACTCATATGATATAACTTCACAAGAAAAGAGTTTTATTTCCAAATAGTACATGTTACTCCGTATAATCCTAAGATCATAGTAGCACCAGTCCCTACTTTCCAAGGTAGGTGTCTCTATGCATGAATTAAAACCAGTGGAAAAACATTGACATAATATAATATAGATAGAATTTGAAACGGGAAGGTACGAGCGACAAACTATAATGTTAGTAGGAAAAAGATGAACCTTATAGATTCATGTTTTTAATCACAAAGCATATTAAGGAAACCAAAAGAGATGTAATTTTCATTTCAAAAGTAAAAAATATTTTTCCAAGATACCACGAAATATAAAATTATATCACCGCCCAGACCACCTTATATTATCTGCAATAGGTACCTTGACATTATCATCTAAATGAGCTCTCTTAAGTCTTTAATCTAGTAAAAACTCAAGCCTTGCACATAGAACTATCCATTTATAGTATCATTGTCATGATGATAAGAAGAGACAATATACATGAAAGTTAATTCATATGGGGATTTCAGATTGTATGTGATACATGGGTTTCCAAACTGATATACTAAGCCTAGGTATACTCTCATATTGTTAGATAATAAAACTGGTATACCTTCTGGTGCATATAATTATGCCGAAAGATTTAGCTTGTTTAACAGTCCTCTAGTAGCAAAAATTGACCTGAAGCATACTTTAAAAACATAGTACCATTAGCACTACGATTAGTAATATATATTATTAAAAACAATACGAAATGAAAAAATAAAAATAACTAAATACACTAATGGTCAAAGTTGTGCATTGGCAAACGTGAAAAGTTGATTGTTGCATTTATTTAAGAACACGGGTAGTGTATTTTAATATATATTTACTTTCTACTTTTATATTACATTCAATATTTTAGTTTAGTTCTTTAACTATTTAAAATTATTTTTCATTTTAACTGGTTTTCTTGTGCTTCTTTAGCGAATATCTTGTTTTGTTTTATTTACTAAAATATGTGGTTTGTTATGTATTTATGTTTTAAACTCTACTTTTGAGGTTGAATAAATGATGTTTAGCATATTTGTATTGTAATTTCAAATGTTGAATGTCTTTTTGAAACAGATTTAACCGTGATTTGTAAGAATTTTTTTAAAGATTGGGAACCG